GGCCCAATGGAACATCTCCACCCGCACATCACTTACCTTGGTCCTGTTCTCTTCCTCAGAGCCCGCTGGCTCCATGATGCCTGCGGCTCCGGCCCTTCCTTCTCCTCCAGTTCCCGGTTGTCCGGTCCCGGCAACGGACCAGACCGGAAGTCACTAGTCTTACTGGAATCGCTTCTTCCGGGGTTGAGCCCGCCCCAGGGTCCCAGGGCACCCGCTGTAATCCTCGCTAGGTCCCGCCCCTTCTGCAATGCCCCTCCCTCTTGTGCTCAGGTCCTGCCCCCGCTTCCACCCCTTGCTCCAGGCTAGCCTCAGAACTGGGAGGCTTGGGCTAACGGCTATTTACAAGTTAATGTTAGGAAAGCCTTCCCTTCTGCCCAGAGTGGGGACACACCAGAATAAGGGTATGGCAAGAACAGAGGGGATGCTGAGAACTTTCTTCCCTCTAAGTAGTGATCTCCAAAGTGGGGGCCAGAGTCCCCCCCCCCGTGGGCGGGTGCATGGTCTATGGACGATAGAGGATGGGAAGATGGGTCGCGTCCCACCCTCCAGGAGATAGCCAATCCCGGGGCTTGTCTCTATCACAAGCCACGCCCCTCCCCTGCACCCCTACCAAAGTTAGTTATAACCCACCCCCAAAGGAGGCGCTTACAGTAAGTAGCTGCTGGGTAGGTGCCCCTCGGAAAATCCCAGCCTACCCACTAAGGGGAAAAAAAAATGTACAGACCCCTCCTCTAACTGCTCTAAGGAACCAACCATTTAACAAAGATATTTGTTGTAGGACAGAGAACTGCCAGGTCCCAGTGCAAAGCCAAAGGTTAGCTAAGACCCAGTTCCTACTCACATAGAACTTATAAATCTAATAAGAGAATAAGACACCAACATAGATAACTAACTGTGTTATTTAAGTCATGTCAGGATGGAAGATGGGGGAAGCTTCTTGAAGAAGGTGCCATTTGAATTGTACGTTAAAGGATGGGTGAGGAAAGAAAGGGAACACAGTCCTAGAGCAAAACAACAGAGGTGAGAGAGATTACTTTAAGTGGGCAGAGAGTTGTTCCAATGAGAGGCAGTGGCATGAGTGCTGAGTTTGGAGTCAGGAGACCTTGGTTTGGCTGTGGGCAGCTAGGTGGTACAGAGGACAGAGTGCTGCATCTGGAGTTAGGAGGATCTGAGTTCAAATGTGGGCCCAGATACTTACTAGTTGTGTGACCCTGGGTAAGTCATGTAACTACTGTTTGTCTCAGTTTCATCACTTGTAAAATGAGGATGATAATAACAGCATCTCCTCAGGGTTGTTGTGAGGATCAAATGGGATAATAATTATAAAGGGTTTAGCAGATTGCCTGGCACATAGTAAGCACTATATAAATGTTAGCTATTATTATTTCTACTTCTGACCTTGGATCACTTAAGCTCTCTGGGCCTCATTTTTCTCATCTGTAAATTAAGGTTGGACTAGATGATGTTTTATATCCCTTCCATCTTTAAATTTAAGCACCATTCTGTATAGTCCCAAACATAGTCTGACTTAATTCTGTAAGAGTAAAAGTAATACGAGATACACTATTGGTATGACTGTGGGTAAGTCACTTAACCCTGTTTACGTTAGTTCCTCATCTGTGAAATGAGCTGGAGAAGGAAATGGCAAACCACTCCAGTATCTTTGCCAAGAAAACCCCAAATGGGGTCACAGAAGAGTTGGAGATGACTAAGCAGCAAAATATGAGATGAGCCTGATTGTGAAATGCCTTGAATGCCTGGAATGCAAAGAAGTCTAGACTTCACTCTGGAGGCAATAGGGATCCAGTGAAGATTTTTCAAAGAGGGTAAGCATGAGCACTTTTTATGAATAACAAAGATTATTCTGGCAGGGGTTTACTGAGAAGTAGAATTGACTTAGTAACTCATTGGATATGAGAGATATCAGAGATAACCCCATGGTTTTAGACATGGAGTCAAATATAATGAGTTTGGGTTGGGGTATGTTCAATTTGAGCTTCTAGTAGGAAATTCATGTAGAGCTATCCTGTTGATTGTTAGAAAAAACAGATATGGAGCTTAGGAAAAAGGTCAGAGTTGAAGATACAGATTTGGGAGTCACCTGTGGGAAGATAATCGTTTAAGTCAGTCAGTCAACAAGCATTTATTAAATACCTCCTATGTGCCTGGCAATGTGCTAAGTGCTGAGGATACAAAGAATGGCCAAAACAGTCCCTTCCTTCAAGGAATTCACATTCTGTTGGGGGAAACAACATCAAAACTGTGTATAAACAAGATATGCATGACGTAAATGGGAGATAATCTCAGAAGGAAGGTGCTAGCATTCAAGGGGATAAGGAATAATTTCTTGTATACGGTGAGATTTTAGCTGAGACTTGAAGGAAGCCAGGGCATCCAGTAGGCAGAGGTAAGGAAGGAGAATATTCTAGGCATAGGGGACAGCCATTGAAAATGCCACAAGTCAAGAGATTAAATGTCTTATATGAGGCACAGCAAATGAGGGCAGCATCCCTGGGTCGTAGAGGACGTGTATGGAAATAAAGTGTAAGAAGACTGGGAAGATAGGAAGGGGCCAGTTTATGAAGGGTTGTAAAAGCTAAACAAAGGATTTTATATTTGATCCTGAAGGTGACAAGGAACCACTGGAGTTTACTGAATGGGAATGATGGTGACATGGTCAGACCTCTGCTTTAGTAACGTCACTATGATAGCTATGGACATGGATGAGATTTTCTTTTTTTGTGAGGCAATTGGGGTTAAGTGACTTGCTCAGGGTCACACTGCTAGTGAGTGTTATGTGTCAGGTCTGATTTGAATTCAGGTCCTTCTGACTCCACTGCGCCACCTAGCTGCATGAATGATATTTTCAAGGGAGAGAAAGCAGAGAGAGAAAAGAAGAGCCAAGAACATACCCTTGAGGGGGAACACTCATGTATGAAATAAGGGGAGATAACAGAAGAGGGCCATAAGAATGTAAAGTTTCTGAATCCAAGTGTGGAAAAAGTAGCTAAAAGTAATAGTGTGTGGTTATCAGTATCAAAAGGAGGCAGCTAGGTGGCTCAGTGGATAGAGGGCCTGGAGTCAGACACTTAATAACTGTATGACCCTGGGCAAGTCACTTAACCCCTGTTTGCCTTGCCTTGATCCACTGGAGAAGGAAATGGCAAGCCACTCCACTATCATTGCCAAAAAAACCTCATGGACAGTATTGGCATGCTATAGTCCATGGGGTCATGGAGAGTCAGTTATGATTGAAGAAGAAGAAAAACAACAACAACATTAGTATCAAAACCTTCAGAAAGGTCAAGAAGAGTAAAGATTGAAAACAGGGAATTAGAGTTGGAAATGAAGAAGTAATTCATGACATTAGAAAGGAGAGTTTCTGCAGAGGAAGGAGTAAGTGGTGATGAAGCTGAGGCATCATTAGGTACAGACAACTTTTTTTTAAAAGTGTGTGTTAGCACACACATACCTCTGATCCGGGCTATCCGGACGGCTAAGGTTGGTGGATCGCTTGAGCTCAGGAGTTTTGAGCTGTGTTGTGCTAAAAACTGATCGGTTGATTGTACTAAATCCAGTAAGGAGGCAGGTAACATCTGCCTAAGGAGATGTGAACTGACCCAGGATAGAAACAGAGTGGGTCAGGGCTCCTTGGCTGATCAGTAGTTAGGATTGGGTCTTGAAGGGCAGCTGCACTTCTAGCCTGGGTGAAATTGGAAGCTCCTGTCTCCTTCCACGGAAAAAAAAGAAAAGTGCTTTTCAACAGCCTTGTTTCTGTTATCTCCCTGCCTAGCCAGACCACTGTGAGAAAATGTCTCTATAGCACATTGCTGTGCATAAAGAGCACACAGGAGAGACTTTCCCTCTAGTGTTATCCACTGAGCCTGTGGATAACTGAGAATAACCCAGGAGAACTCTTCTACCCAGGGCCATTCTTCTAATCTCTCTGGTTGGTCTTTGGAGGGAGGCAGGAAATAGAAAGTTTGAACTTCTCTCCCAGCAATTCCCACATGTTACCTCTGTAATAGGAATTCCCATTACACAACCCCCCAAATACATTTTGAATTGGAAAGAGCTCTGGTCCTGACACCTGGATCAGCTTTACTATGATGAGTTACTGGGCAAATTGCTCTTCATCCCTGAAGTCCAGTATCCCAGCTGTCAATGTGCTAAGCTCTGCCTGCCTTCTTCCACTCCCCCATAACTTAACCCAGGGGTGGTAAACCTGAGGCCTTGAGGCCACATGTGGCCTTCTAGGTTCTTGGGTGGGGCCTTTTGACTGAGTCCAAGTTTTATAGAACAAAGCCTTTGGCCACATGTGGCCTTGAGGCCACAGATTCCCCACCCCTGCCCCCATCTATTCCCAAACAAAGTCTGTGAGCAGAGCATAGTTATTTACAAAGCTTTATTCCAGCAAGGGGTGGGGGGGAGCAGGCCCATTGATAGAGGTAGGGAAAAGGGAACATGGGTGACAGGGCAGATTGAGGGTGAGGGGAACCTTGTCCCCCCCCCACCCAGAACAAGTACATATCCCCACACACATAGGCTAGGTTGCATTCCTGGCATTGAAGCAAAACAAAACAAACACAATCCCCCTCCCAGCCCATCTCAGGGTGAGAGAAAGGCCTCCCAGGGGCTCAGGCATCTAGGCTCCCCATCAAAAGTGGTAAGAATGGAGGCAATTTCCAAAAAGCAGGAGGGACACTTGGGCCCCATGCCCTAGGGAAAGCTAAATAAGGGGAAAAGGGCTACAAGGGGTCCTTCATGAGGAAAGATGCTGAGAGCTCCTGAAGCCAGAGAAATGGGGAAGTTTTCATCTCCCCCTGCTTCTCCCCACCCCTGGGCTTAGGGTCCTGCCCTGTGGGTCTCCTATGCCTAAGAGGAAGGGGGCTCCAAGAAATAGAAATAGTGGAAGGTTCAATTATTGAGTCCAGTGCCTTGGAATCTCCAGTATGAGGCATGGGCCAGGACAGGAATGGGACTCAAAACTAACTCACCCTCACCTGGGCAGGGGGGGGGGGGGGGGTGGGGGAGTAGTAAAGATGGTAAGGGTGGGCATTGGGCATTGTCTGGGGGCCCTGGGCATCAGCAAAGGGATAGGCAAACAAGCAAACACATAGACTAGCCTCGGTCTCCTAGGTATCAGAAGCTGCAGCCTTGGCAGGTGAGAGGTAGGGGGTAGGGACTGGGGAACAGTGTTGTTCCCCCATCTTCCTCCCTCTTCAGGGGTCCAGGATTGTTGGTGGAAGGAGGAAACAGCATTCAGGAGTGTCTATGTGCCAGGGACAGGAGGACCAGGATGCTGGATCCCCTCACCAGGTTCTGCAAGATAAGTAGTGAACTGGCTCAGTATCCAGCCCTCTCTCTGAGCCTGCCCTGTGTCATCTGGCCCTCCACCCCAGTCCCGGTCCTCAACCAGTCCTCGTGCCTGAGTCCCAAGACTGGACGTGGTCCCTTTGCTGTGCGCTTTACCCCTGTGCTGTCTCTTCCAGTGCCCTCTGTCTCTCACCATTCTGCGCAGCTTCTTCTTCCTCTCCCTTGCCTTCAGAGGTTCCGTCCTTCTGGGGCTCATCCAGCGGGGGTGGCCGCTCCCAAGGCCCTTCCAGGCCCTGGCCACAAGAAGTTGGCTGCACAGCTATTGGATTTGAGGTGGGAGAGTGGAAGAAGGAACAGAGACAAGTAGTTCTGTTTATCCATCTGACCCTGTCTCTGCATCTTTCTCCAGCCCATTCTGTCTCCTCAGTGTGTGTGTATATATGTGTGTGTGTGTGTGTGTGTGTGTGTGTGTGTGTGTGTATGTGTGTGTATGTATATGTGTATATATATGTGTGTGTATATGTGCCCTCATTGTCTCTGTCTCTCTTTTCTTTTGTCTCCTTGTCTCAGTCTCTCTGCTGGTCCAGTTTAGTATTTTGTTCCTTGACAAATCGATCCCCTTCTTGTCTATTTTCTAACTTTCCCTGAGGAAAGGCAGACTCCTCTCCCTATCCCATATTGCATTTTTTCTCCACTGTTGTCTTTGGGGGGAGGGAAGAGAGTACAGAGCCCTCTCCAAACAAATAATTCATCTCTTTCCAGTTCTGCCTATTTGAGAGGATACACTACACTCTCTCTCTCCCTCTCCTCTCATGAATGCAAGCAATTAATTAGGGGGCAAGAGTTTAGACAATTAGTTGGCATACAGAATAAGACATTCTCTTTCCTACTCACCCCTTCCACAAGAAGAGGAGACAAAGAACCAAATGTTTACCTTCTTACCTGGGGGCAGGACATTATTAGCACTTCTTCATTCCCACAGTCAAATGGGAATGTAAGCCCTAAAGTGCTGTATAAATGTTGGCTATTAATATTACTTTTCTGTTTGACAAGCTCTATGGGAATAATGCTTAAAATGCAGCAGAAGGGATAGAGGTTAGGTACTATGAATGTGGCAACGAGCTAAGAGAATGAATAATATCACTGTTCTAAGAAACTTTCTGTATAAGGCATATCTCCAGTCCAGGATTCCTCTGTGGGGCCAGGGACTCTTTCTGAGGTATTTCTCTGGGCCTGGAAGACCTTCCATTGGGATCTCTTTCTGGGTCTAGGGTAACCTCCTTGTGTGGTTCTTGTGTGTTGGGGAGGGTCTTTACATCTGGGAATTCCTCTCTAGGGGATCTCTCTAGGTTAAGAATTCCTCTATGGGATCTCTCTGGGCACCCTTCTGTGGCATCTGTCTTTGTCTGGGACCCCCTCTAAGGGATCTTCTTGTATCTAGATGCCTTTCTATCCATAGACACAAGCACCTAGCTGTGATTCCCTATGGCCTTGTCACTTTTTAGGCCTCCGGTTTCCACTTCTTTTAAATTAGGGGATTGGATTAAATGATCTTTAAGCATACTTCCATCTCTGATAGACTATGCTTAGGGTCTTCTTGGACCTTCACATTGGCTGTCTCCCGTACCTGGAATATATTCCCTCCTCACCTCTGTCTCATAGCATCCCTTTCTTGTAAGGTCCTTGTGAGTATGTAGTGTTACATTCTTTATATTTGTCTCTCCAGCATTTGTGTCTAGCACAGTGGCACAAAGTAGGCACTTAATAAATGCTTGTTGTTTGACTGATTCCTAAACATAGGAGAGGAAGAGATTGGGAGATACTTCAATTCTCCATCCAGACACTAGAGGGCATTGTTCCCCTCACCACAGGGCAGTGAGTTAGATTCCTGAGTCACCTTTGAGTTTGGGGTCCTGAGAGAAAAGCCGTAGGAGGCCAGCCCAGAACCATAGGGTGCTTGATAGCTCATCTCATCCTGACCTTTGCTTCTAGACTGACCTGCATCCATCCTCTGTGGGTAGAGGCTCTCAGGGAAGGGACCTCTCCAGAACGCTCAATCCTGTGTGGCCTACCTTTACCTGTAGGGAAGACCTTTCTAATTCTAACCTTAAACCTCCCTGTGGCAGCTTATTCTTCTTGTCTTAGTCTTAGAGGAGATCATGATATTTAGAGCCAGAAAATATCTTAGAGAAGATCTTCTGGATGAACTGGATTAGAATTAGAACTGAGTTCCCTTTCTTGATTTTTTTTTTTTAATTTGGTTAGGCGATAGGGTTAAGTGACTTGCCTAGGGTCATACAGCTAGTAAGTGTTATGTGTCTGAAGCTGGATTTGAACTCAGGCCCTCCTGAATCCAGGGTTGGTGCTCCCTAGCTGCTCCAGATCTAAGCTCTTAAATCAAGAAGGGGGGGCAGCTAGGTGGTACAGTGGATAGAGCACCAGCCCTGAAGTCAGGAGTACCTGAGTTCAAATCCGGCCTCAGACGAAACACTTGACACTTATTAGCTGTCTGACCCTGGGCAAGTCACTTAACCCTATCGCCTAACCAAATTAAAAAAAAAAAAAGAGTTTAGATCTGGAATATATCCCACAGGCAGTGACGCTATCCTCCCACAGTTTTGAAACAATTCATAAGTGTAAGAGAAACTAGGAGCCAGAAAGAAGCTGCCCAGGGGCCCAACGATCTCAGACCTTCTGACTCACCAGGCTCATTTCTGCCCTTGACAACCTCTGCCTGGCTGGAGTCATCTTCCTCCTCTTCTTCCTCCTCCTCTTCTTCTTCCTCCTCCTCTCCCTGACAGCGTCTGCTTCCCTGCTCACCTTCTTCTTCTTCTTCATCAGAAGGCTGGTTCTCACTCAGGTTGCTGATGGACTGCAGGTGTGATTCAGCAATGCGCTGGACAGCTGGCACAGAGAGGGCATTGTGGGTCATCCATGCCCATGTGGTCACTTAGGACCAGATGGGAGGATGAACCAAGGAATTTGCCCCTGAATTAGGGCTGTGAGAAACTATGGCATTCCAACTTGTGAGATGGAGGATGCCACCAATTTTTCTTGTGCCCCATTATATGGAAAGGGTCAGGTCAGCTTTCAGCAGTCAAACTGAACAGAGCATGGCAGGGGCTGATGGGTGAGGCCTGGTTGGCACCAGCTGTGCCCATAGTTAGCTCTGAGGTAGAGTTTCTGGCCCCCAGGATCTTGGCAAACGAGAAGCTCCCCACCAAATACCTTGTGCCAGGCGCCAGAGCTCAGGCAAGACCAAATGGGCAGAGTATTGAGTCAACGTTCTCTGGCCAGGAAGCCAGCAGCCAATATGGCCTGTGATTCAGCTGGAGAGTGGGCCATGTTCTGGAGCCAGAGTGACAGTGGGCACAGAGGAAACGCCCAGCTGTCCCCCCCTCCCCAAGGACATAGGGGTACCTGGGAAAAGGGCTTTTTTCCAGAGGACAATATGCCAGTGTCACAGAAACCTCTCAGTGTTCCCATTGCCAGGCTTGGCATGTGCTGGTCCAGAATCACCTCTTTTTTTTTTTTTTTTTTTCTTCCTGGCAGAAGAGACCAATAATGGTCTGAGCCTCTGGATACTCTGCCCTATCATCATATGATCATAGATATGGAGTTGGAAGGCACCTCAGAGGCATTTTGTTCAACCCCCTCATTTTCTAGATAAAGGAACTAGACCAAGAGAAATTAAATGACTTGCCCAAGGTCACGTAGGTAATAAATGTCAGAGGGTAGAATTTGAACCCAGGTCCTCCCCAGAACCATTCATGTTTCCACTGTAGTCTGGCATGCTGGGAATGTGTCCTGTTGGCCCTGGGAGTGAGCATCCCCCCCCACTCTGGTGGGTGCTCCTAATTCCATTTCTCTGTCATTGATTACCCTTGATACTAGGCCAGCTGGATACCAGTCCAGCCACCCCAGGTGAGTACTTGCTGTTCCCTCCAGGTACCATAGGGTGCTCACAGTCATGAAAGGAGGGTAATACCAAGTTGTATTGAGGTAGACAGAGTGTCCAGGGACCCAGAATGTTTCCAGCCCAGCCCTCTGGCTGGCTTGACCCACATCCCCTCCTTCCCAGCTCCCTCTGCATTGACCTAGAAAGCAGAAGTCATTACGGGTCTCAATTGGATAGGGCTGACAAACAGCAGGCTGGGCACAGACCTCAACAACAGGAACAGCACAGGCATGGTTCCTACTTCCCCAAGCCAGGCCTACAGCCAGGGAGGAGCCCAACTAGGAGCTATTTCAGCTTGAATTATTTGGGGAAGAGAAGTGGGGAAATGAGAGGCAGGAACTTTAAGGACAGTGGGGGGAGATGAAAGGGCTGGGAGAGTGGGGCAAGGATTAAGGGGACACTAGGGGAGGGGGAAAGGGCAGGACTAAAAAATACAGGGGGGGGGGGGGGGAAGATACTGGGGGAGAGAAAGGGAGGAGGTAAAGTCTAGAATGATTTCTAAGCATTTAGGCATTAAATGAGCATCAAGGAAAGAAAATGTAGGGTAAGATGCAAATGAAGTAGACTTCTTTTGGAAGTCCATAGCTCAGGTATTTCTTCAGTGGGCCAGGTCCAGCTTCCTCCCTTTTTCCATCCCAACCCCCACTGCTTGGGCACACCCTCTCTCCTCTCTGATCCCCAGGTTGGCACAGTGCCCCAGCAGGGAAGGCCCAGGGGGGCCTATCCTGGCTGGAAATCTTGCCTGCTGAGCCTGGGAGCAGAGCAGTCCTGGCTTCTGCCAGCTCCCTGGATGGCAACAGTACCTCCATTGTCTGGCCACTGGTCCCGCCCCCAACGGCCCCCCCACCCCCCTCGCTCCACACCCTGGGAGACCCAGGCCTTCGCTACAGCCTGCCTGACTTTCTGAAAGTTAGAGACACAATAAAAACATCATAAATCCCTCCACCCTTGTCCTTGATCCCTTGCTCCAGAGGCCTGCATCAGCCCTTAAAACCTGAGGCCTCTGTGTCCTGGCTCTTCTTGAGCCCCTAAAGGACTCAAGATCTTAGACCGCTTCCCTCTCTCCAAATGTCTCCCTACTAGCTTCTACCCATTTCTTAATGTCCTCCTTGCCCTCTCCTCTTTCCTTCCCTGTCCCCTTCAAACCTTCCCCTCTACCATGGTCTCCTCCCAGCCCCCATTCTTCTCCCCTCAATGTCTCCCTACTTCAAGGTTACCTCTCTCCAGTATCCTCTAATTTCTCACCTCTCACTTTCTAGCGGACCCCAGCCCCTGGCCAAGAGGATAAATAAAAAATAGTGATAATAGCTACAATAAACTTTTACATAGCTTTTTGAGCATTGCAAATTGCCAGATGTACATCAATACTTTATCTCATTTGATCCTTCTAACAACCCAGGATCTCAAAGCAGTTAGCAACTGATATGTGCTTCCTGCTATTTTTCTCCCCTTTTCATCCAAAGGAGAAATTACAGAGGTCCCGAGAGAGACCTACAGCACTGTATGAGTGTGAGGGTAGAAGCAACGGACTGGAACCTGGGGGTAAGGGGACAACTTAGCAAAGTCCTCAGGGAAAGGATGAGAGAATTTAGGAGGTGAGGTGGGCATAGGAGTCAGTAAAAGAAGAGGAGGTGTCCTGGGGCAGCTAGGTGGCACAGTGGATAGAGCACCAGCCCTGAAGTCAGGAGGACCTGAGTTCAAATGTGACCCCACACCAAACACTTGACACTTACTAGCTGTGTGACCCTGGGCAAGTTACTTAACCCCAATTGCCTAAAAAAATTTTTTTTAAAAAAAGAAGAGGGGTGTCCCCATGGAGAAGGGATGGTATTGGGGGGTACCCAGGATAAAAGGGGCCCAGGGAGAGAGGAGGCAGAGGCTGAGGCAGTCCCCCCACCCCCAACCCAGGAACTCTGAGATGAATGGGGGAGGAGAATCTCAGAGCTCTCCTGAGGTGTGAGCAGAGCCTGTAACAATAGGTGTTGTGTGAGAGGTGGGGAGTGGGGGTTGTGGGGGGGAGCTCTTGAGTGGTGTGAACCCTCTGTGTTCATGCTGGAGTTTGACTTCCTTTGCCTTTCCATCTCCTCTTCCCATTTTTCCTCTTCCCCTGCCTGTATCCAGCCAGGTCCTTCTCCCCATCTCTCTCTATATCTGCTCCTTCCTTTTAATTCAGGGCTGCTCCTCCTCAATTCCTTTTTCTCTTCTGCCTTTCCTTCAGCCAGTTGCCAACCCTCAGCCTGAAACACCTGGAGTGCCCTGGCCGCCTGACCCCAGGAGTGGAACATTCCCTGGGCAACGTGAGTCCCCGCTGAGAAGAACAAGGCTGTCTCTACCCCTCCTCCCCTAGCAAGCCCAGCCAAGTCAGATGCCTTTACCTAACAGAAAGTGGAGAGGGGGTAGGGCTGGACCAGAAGGTCCATTGAATCATAGAGTACCCTTGCAGGCCCTCCTGAGGTCATCTCCTCCCTCATTTTCCAGGAGCCTCTCTCCCTAGGCAGGAATCTATTGGGAGTAGGGCTAGGGATTTAATTTTTTCCTATTCTTTCTAGGTAGGAAAAATGCCATGACATTTACCACTCCCCTGTCCCAGGACCTCCCTTACCCTCGTGGCTAGGCAGCCCTACCCCACATTTGTCCTCATCCCTTGCTCTAGTTCCATTTCCATCAGCTCTCCTCTTCTGGGGAAACCTCAGTGTCTTTCCCTCTTCTTTAGATGGGAATGTTGAGAGCTAGGAGATGAGGAAAGGGGTGACCCAGGGACCTCCCAGGGAATGGGAGCCAATCAGTTACCTATGACTAATAGGCTACAGTCCCATCTACCTTCTCTTTTCACCCCCAAGCTGGATGCACCTGTTGACTTTGGCTGCCATGCTATGCTAGTTAAAGCCACCCCCACCCCAGGAGCTCCAGGAGCTCTCATTACACTTTCTCCGCCTGGGGAAGGGGAGGGAGACAGAAAGAAGGGGAGGGGTTCAGGAAGAGCCTCAGGCAGGAGTTGAGAAGGGAGGAAGGGCCTTTAAGTACTTAGCCCCACATAGTGCTCAGAAGGAGAAGGTCGGGACAGAGACCAAGAGATGATGGCTAGGAGACATCTCTCTCCTCCCTCCACATATAACATGTAACTATTTGGAAAATGTTCAACACACAAAAACAGAGATAGATTCAGTCTATGTAGATCTCTGCAAACACATGGAAAGGGGAAAGAGGAAGATACTGGTATTGTGGGGATTACCTCTCTTTCAGAAGAAGCAAGAAGGAGGACCTGTCACTCCCCCCTTCCTCAATCTGTGAAGATTAGAATGGTAGTAAAGAGGAAACAGGTTGAACATACAAAGTGGGTCGAGTTGGGTCCATTTCTTAAAGTTTTGACAATAGGATTTATAGCAAGAAGAAACTTTAGAGAATTTAGATACTTCTCCACTTCTGGCCCAAGCACATATACCTCCCCCCCCCCAACTAATTTTATGGAGAAGTTAACTGAGGATGGAGGAAGGGAAATGACTTGCCCAAGGCATAATCTTAGTGACTGACAGAAGCAGGTCTCCCAATTCTCAGTCAGGTAGGAAGCCAAAGAGTTAGGGCTCAAACCCAGGTCTTTTGACTCCAAATTCAGTGCCCTTCTGTCTATATCACACAGTTTCTTTCTTTAGGAAAGCCAGAAAAGTGCTTTGTAAACCATGAGGCCCTATGTAAACATGAATTTTTATTTTATTGTAGATGTACACACACACACACACACACACACACACACACACACACACCCATACCCATAGACATTTCTTTAGGTTCTGCCACCTGATGTATTTTTTTTAAGGCTCAAAGACTAAATTGTTTCATGCTAATCCACAAGGCTTCATTATAGGAGAAGGGATGGGGACTGTAGAAGAAAATAGCCCATTTTGGACATGCCTCCACTAAAGGTCTCTCTGAATCCCCCCTTTACCCTCTCCAGTCTGTCCTCCATGCAGTCACCAAATTGATATTCCTAAAGCACAGGTCTGAACACATCATTCCCTGGCTCCAGATAGGATAAAGTACCAACTCTCCCATTTGATATTCAAAGCCCTTTGCAATTGGGTTCCAGCCTATCTTTCTTTTTAAAAAAGTTTAATTTTTTGATGTTTTATTTCTATTCTTTTTTTCTATCACCATCATTTTCTACTGATTCCCCACGCCCCACCCTAGAAGAGCCCTCCTTTGTAACAAATAACTATAGTCAAGAAACAGAAATCAGCATGTTTCCATCCTATCTTTCTGGGCTGATTATAAAGTACTCCCTGAAAGCACTCTTGGTTCTGACCATTTATCCTATTTGCTATCACTCAGTATAAGATATTTCATATTCCACCCCTGTGCCTTTGCCTGTCAGGGGTGGGGAACCTTCAGCCTTGAGGCCACAAACTTGTAAGTTTGCATTCAGTCAAAGGGCCGCACTTGAGGACCTAGAGTGCCACATGTGGCCTCGAGGCCTCAGGTTGCCCACCCCTGGGCCTAGGCCATCTCTGGCTATAACCCTTTGCCTCTTCACCTCTGCCTCTTGGAAATCTTAGCTTTCTTCAAGGAGGCCTTTCCTGATTCTCTAGTTGTTAGTGTCACCCTCTGAAAGTACTTTGTATTTTTTGGTACATATTTTGTATCTATCTACATATATGTTGTATCCTTTGATGAAAAGGCATTTATTTCCTTGAGGTCAAGGACGATTTCATTTTTGTTTTTGTATCTCCAGCACATAGCAGTGGCTGGCACATAGTAAGCATTTGTTGAATTTAATGGATTCTCTCCATCCCCACGTCTGTGCTCTTAGCTCCAGTCCCAGAAAGGAGGCAAGAAACAGAGAGGAATAAGTAGTACCTTTCAGAGAAGGGGGAGTGTAGGCACAAGGGTTGGCTCTCTTGGTCTTGAGATGGTGCCCCTCGCCAGAGGATCTCTGCCAGAGGGAAAGCTTGGGGTTAACAGAGCAAAGCTACTCATTCCATCCTGTCCTCTTCTCCCCCTCCCACAACTGCTTGGCTCCCTTCCCCATGCCCATCCTATCTCTTTCCCAAGTATGCTTTCCTTCTTTGTCCTTCCGTAGGGCCCTGCCTAGATGCCAAGAGGAAGCTGAGCAAATTGTCCCTTATGCCACAGGTTGTGTGGGGGTCATGCTAGCCTTTAAGGGTGACCCACAGAGTTGCCCACCTTGGTCACTGATGCCTGTAGAAGAGGGGGAAGTTGATAAAGAGAGAGTCAGAGGTACCTCAGAGCCAGCAATGACCCTGTAAGGTACTTGCCTATTGGCCCTGCCTTCAACTCCCTAGATGCCCCACCCTATGTCCTGGACCAGATCCTGTTTGGAGTATAGGAGGTAGAGTGAGATCAGAGAGGTGAGAACTATGGGAGCTCTGAACCTCGTTTCCATTCTCTAGGCGTTTTTCCTCTCCTGTAAAATGAGGGCAGTAGACTATATCAGGGGTCCTTACCTGATTTTTTGTGTCATGGACCCCTTTGACAATCTGGTAAAGCCTGTGGATCCCTTCTAGGAATAATGATTTTTTTTTTAATTTTTTTAAATTTTATTTAAAATCATAATTGAGGGAAATGCTAAATTTAAGTTAGTGAAAGTAAAAATGTAAAATTTTCCCACTTAACTTCACAGACTCCTCCCGGAAATCTGTCATTGACTGTAGACCCCAGATTAAGAACCTCTGGACTAAATGATCTCTAAGCCTCTATCTATCTATGGGTCAAGAGCAGATATTAATAACTTGTGAATGAGATGGAAATTCATATGCACATTTATTTTCTGAGTCAATAGCTCAGCCACTTTGCTGATAGGGTGACTCACAAAAGGACACAGTACTTTACACATAGTAGATGTTTAATCAAATCAAATTCGTTGAATTGACCTAGGGGACCCCATCTGTTTATATTTCTCTGGGAAACTTACCTGATAGGGGGAAGCCTCTTCCTCTGGAACCAGACCATCACCAGACAAAAGAAAAAAAGATACTAGAATCAGTGTTATTGTCCCCAAACTGTAGTCCTCAAGACCGTGGTTAGGGGAATCAGCTTGGGACCCCTCCTACCTATTAGTGGGCTAGGGTTGACAGTGAGGACCGCAGATATCCAAGCTCCAAGACTTAGTCCCACCCTCTAGCCTCTAACTACTATGACATTTTCCAGGGCTTCTAGAGAAGGAGGTAGACATTCCCCAGGAGGATGGGGCAAGTGGGCTAACCGAACAGGAAGGGGCTGAAGGACATGCAGAACCCAAGTATGGGAAGGTCTAGGAGAGCAGAGTAGGGAGTAGTGGTTAGGGGTAACATCAGGATGGGGGTCTACAAGATCAGCTGAGATACAGGGGAACACCAGTGCTTGAACCCCACCTCTATCTGGAGGGACTTCACCTGGAGAAGAGTGCTCTGAAACACGGAACAACATAGCGGGGGTGGGTCTTCGGCGGCGGATCTGCAGAAATAAAAAGTGGGGGCCAAGATAGTGAATGCTGTTGACACTCCATTTTGACCCTTACACCTACCAGGAGACAGGAATCTGTGTTTCCTAGAGGCCAATTCGAGTGGTCATCTATAGAGGCATTTCCTCTCTCAATCCTGAAACACAGACCTGGAGAAATCTAATGTTTCCTTAGAGTCTTTGAGGGAGTCAGAGGGGAAGCACATCTGAGTGTGGCTTCAGTTGCCAGAGCTGTGCTATGCAGGGGAAGGTTCCCTCATGTTCCACTTGGCACTGCCCTCCTGTAGGTCAATTCAGGGGCTCCTAGGGAAACCCAATCCAAATTCGGAGATGAAGTAGAGGAGACGGACTCTGCAAGCATTGGAAGCATCTCTATCTAGCATTATGCTGATTTCCAGGTGGAAGAGATTTATGCCCCAGTTCTTCTGTAGGGTCTCTCTTATAAAGGGGTCTGTTACCCCTCTATGGACTTTCTCTGTGTCTAATCCTCTGCTATATAGTCTTGCTGGGTCTGGGAAACCTTCTGTGGAGGGTCTGTCTCTGTCCAGGGGCCCCTTAATAGGGCTTGACTCTGATATGGGACCCCAGATTGAATGAACCTGACTCCCTAAGAAGGCTGGAAGTGAAAGGCACTCCCTGGGTGCCCATGCCATGCCAAGAAGGCAGTGGTTTTAGCCCCTATGCTGCTTCAAGCACCTCAGATCCAAAAGTGGAGACATCAATTAATTAGGTCCCTTCTGAGGGCTCCAGGGAAATTCACCGAGAGAACCAGGTGAGAGTTAAGATCCAACAATTATCTCCCTCATGCCAGATTACTAACCCTTCCCCCACTCTTTCTTCTATTAGGAAAAAAAAAATGTTGTTTAGCTCCAAGGACCCCACTCAACCCCCTCCCTAAAATGAAACCATGTATGTGAAAATGTGTTTTGGATGGTAAGTTGATATACAAATATAAGGGATTGTTGTTCTTGTTATTATTGTCCTTAGCCCCTCCTCCAGCCCACTTAATGATTCCTTTAGAGCTGGGACTCTCACTTTCTTTGCTTTTCTTCAGAAGCAGCCATATTTCAGCAGCAGGTGATACAGCTGTCATTCTTGACTGGTCAACAAGAAACCCCCTTCTTCCCCCAACCCTGGCAATCCACCCCCACTGAGCCAGTGACCCTTTGGGGGAGTGTTAAGCCCCAGGGACAGAGTCTCCAGAATGCTGGGCTAGTTTTCTCTAGAGCTGGGCGTGGGATCAGCTTCATTTCAACAAACATTATTTTGAAACGATCTGGGGGAAGGGTCCTGGGGCAGGAGGTCTGGTTATTCTGTAGTCAGGGTGCAGCTTGTTTCCTTTTTGCAGAGGGGGGAAGGGAAGAGAGGGGGGGGGGTGGGAAGCATTTCCCACAGCCCCACCAGGGGTCTCTAAGGATCCCAAGGGAGCCTAGTACCTCAGCCCCAAAGGAGATGAATGGGGCCAGGATGAGGAACTAATGGTTAGCTAGAGAGGGGCAAGGTATTTGGAGAGGGAGAAAGCAAGATGTGGCTCTTCAGGGGATAGGAATAATGGGGTCAGTGTTGGGGTCCCTCGGGAAAGGAGCACAGATTTGCTAATGTCCTTTCAGTCCAGCAGTTCTCAGATAGGAGGCAGCATTGCTGTGGGGGAGGAATGGGGACAGTACATATGTGGTGGAGCAGAATAGAGGAGGTTGGAAAGTTCCCTTGGTGATACATTCATGGGCTTGACCTACAAGCACCAAGTACCCCTGGCTGCCTGGCTGCCCAGGGCTCTCACTGAAAGATCTAGGAGAGAGGAGGGGGAACTAGTGCCCCAGGAAAAAGTTAACCAACTCTCCAGCTAACTTTGAGAGTTTCAGTTTCCTCCCCCACCAATTGCCATGTTAACATTCCCCTGGGTAACAGGAGCCCCCCCCCCCCCCCTTGCCTCTGTACCATCCATCCTCACCCTTTGCCCCTAGTCCCAAACCCCTCCCCGTCTAGCAGGCAGGAGTCCAGCCTGGCATTTGGTGGATAGGACAGGTATCCTAGCGAGGGGGAAGAGAAAGTCAAGTAAAATGTTAGAAGGGAGGTGGGTGCCTCCTGGGGCAGAGAGAAGGGGGTAGAGTTAGCCCTGGGTGACCACAATGATATCCAGTGCCCTCCGAGCCCACTGTGCCCCCTTCTCTGCTTACCATCTCCACCTGGCGAGGGTCTAGCTGGCTCGGGGGTGCAGGCACGGAGAATTGAATCTTCTTTCGGTCTTTGGGATCCATGGTGGGTACTGAGAGGTTGAGAGGGATGGCTTTCCTCTTGTCTCTGTGGTCCTGGGAACCGGAGGAGCCTGTGGGTCCCGAGCTATTCTTCTCCTCCTGGGGCTCTGCTCCCCCGCTCGCCTCCCTCCTTTTCCTTCCCCTCCACCCTCCCCTTCTCTCCCCTCCCCTTCCCCTCAGAGGGTGCGGTGACAGGCAGGCAACGTGTGGAGGAGGACTGTTCACGCACAGATAAAAATACAGTACTGAGCGATGGGGAATGAGGATTTGCAGGCTTTTTTTTTTTTCTTCTCTTCTCACTCTCTGTCTCTTTCTGTGTATCTCTGTCTCTCACTCTCTGCTTCTCTTGATCTCCCTGTCTCTGTGTGGAATGAGTGAGTGAGTGAATGTGTGTGTGTATGTATGTGTGTGAGAGAGTGAGAGTGAGAGAGTGTGTGTGTGTGTGTGTGTGTGTGTGTGTGTGTGTGTGTGTGTGAGAGAGAGAGAGAGAGAGTCTGTCTGTCTGTCTGCTGGTGCCTCCTGTCTACTCCCTTGGGCCCTGGCGTCAGGGTCAAATCCCAGCCCCTTTGGCTTAGGACTGGCACCTAGGTAGTTTCAGAGAGGGTGTTTAGAAAGGTGACCAATGAGAGGAGAACTGTTTTCTCTTTGGGACTGGAAGGAGGTGGAGTAGAGAGTTGGAGCCAGGTTGGGGGGGGTGCCTCAGGCTGGGGGCCCCCTGCTGGATCCCCAGAACTGGAATCTGCATTATTGATGGAGTCCAGCAGGGTGGATAATGGGGGGGGGGGAGTGGGGAGGGGGCAGCAGGGGGGGGGGACTGGGGCTTGAACCTTTAACTATTTCATCGCCAGGATGTTCTGAGTCCCAGGAGGAGGATAGGGTCAGAAAGAATGTAGGTGCTGGGCCAGGTTACATGAGTATGTGAAGATGTCAGGTGTACAGGAATGTGTTGATGTGCAGGTGGGTGTACCAGCATGTGTAGGAGTGTAGAAGTAGGAGCATGTGAAAACTTGTAACATCTTCCCCTATGTCTGCTCCCTTCATACACATAGGGGAGAGAGCATGAGTGCATGTGTGCTCGTGCTAGTGCTTGTGAGTGTGTGTGTGTGTGTGTGTAAGTATATAGGAGTGTGAGCCTGTGGACTCATGTATGTATGTGGAATTTATCCACCAGCTTTTGTCTGCCTGGTACTTCAGAACATGTGTGAGGCACGTTCCTTGGATATGCTCATAGATAAGAAGGAAGAGCAGTGGGGCAGCATTAGGTTGGGAAAACTCTGGGGGCATTGAGCTGGGGGAGGGGAGTGACTGTCATATGTGGGAAGCAGAAACAGAGTGAGGAGGGGCAGAAATGTGGGAAGATAAAGATGTTACACGTGTGTTTTGTCACAGGTGTATTTTACTCTGTTCATCAAAGAGTCACAGGCTATCTGAGCGATAAGGGAGCTTAGAACACAGAACATAACATGTCAGGGCTGGAAGGGAGCTTAGAACATAGAACACAACATGTCAGAGCTGGAAGGGAGCTTAGAACATAGAACA